GGCAGGCCCAATCCCTAGGTGCAGCCCCTGGTCGGGCTCAGAGCAGGGCCGATTGGGGAGTTGGGGCGCCGCCCCCTGTCATACACAGAGCAGGGTGATCCGGAGGTTCTGATGCCACCCTTAGTCACGCTCAGGGTAGGGCCGATTGGGGGGTTGGGGCACCGTCCCCTGTCATACTCAAGGCATGGTCGATGGGGATGTTGCGGCGCCACCCCCTGTCATGCACAGAGCAGGGCCCATCAGGGGGGTTTAGGCTCTGTACCCTGTCACGCACAGAGCAGGGCCAATCAGGGTTTGGGGCGCTGCCCTCTATCACCCACAGAGGAGGGCCGATCAGGGGGTTGGGGCGCTGCCACTCTCACACTCAGGGCAGGGCCGATGGGGAGGTTATGGCTCTACCCCGTCACACACAAAGCAGGGCCCATGGGGGGGGGGGAGGTTGGGGAGCCGCACCCTGTCACACAGAGCAGGGCCAATCAGGGGGTTGGAGCACCGCAGCCTGTCACACACAGAGCCGCAGGGCAATCAGGGGGTTGGGGAGCTCCCCCCTATCAGGCACAGAGCAGGGCTGATCAGGGGGTTGGAGCACCTTCCCCTGTCATGAACAGAGCAGGGTGGATAAGGAGGTTGTGGCCCCGCCCCCTGTCACACACAGAGCTGCAGGGCGATCAGGGGGTTTGGGCGCTGCCCCCTGTCACGCTGATCCCGGTGCTGGGAGGCATGTTACTCTTTTACTATATAGGGTAAAGGCCTGGTGCACGGGTGGGTGCCGGCTGGTTTGCCCTGAAGGGTGTCCTGGATCAGGGTGGGGTCCCCACTGGGGTGCCTGGCCAGCCTGGGTGAGGGGATGATGGCTGTTTGCAGCTGGTCACATACCCTTCAGGGTGGGGTCCCCACTGGGGTGCCTAGCCAGCCTGGGTGAGGGGCTGAGGGCTGTTTTCAGGCTGGCGGGTGACGGAAGCTCCCAACCACTCCTTTTTTTCTTTTTATCTTTTTAATTCTGGGCCGGCTTTAGCTCTGAAGCTCCAGCTCTTAGGCCTCCGCTCCTGAAAGCAGGTATCTGGTTTCTTTCAGTTCTATAATCGAAACTCTGTATCAACTCCAGCTCTGAGATCCCAGCTGGCTGAAAGCTGGTTTCTGGGGTTTTGTTTAGATTCTATATTTGTTACAATGTTTCTTAAACTGCAGGCTCAGAGGCCGGCAAGGCAGGCGGGGAACGTTGGAGTCCTCCATCACTGAAGGAAGCAAGCCTCTTGTTCACTTCCAGCTGCCTGGCTGCCAGCCGCCATCTTGGCTGGCAGTTAATTTGCATATTGCCCTGATTAGCCAATGGGAAGGGTAGCGGTCGTACGCCAATTACCATGTTTCTCGTTTATTAGATAGGATATGTGTGTGTGTGTGTGTGTGTGTGTGTGTGTGTATATAATTTCTTGATTTTATATATATATATATATATATATATATATATATATATATATATATCCTATATAGTAAAAGCCTAATATGCTAAGTGTCCAATCATCAGGTCAGCCATTCAACCAATCAAAGTGTAATATGCTAATGCTATGCTAAGGCCACTCAACTGCTCGCTGTGATGTACACTGACCACCAGGGGGCAGACACTCCGATCAGTAGGTTAGATTGCTCCTGGGGTCTGGCCGATTGGGACTGAGTGAGATGAGCCAGACATGCCCTGGAGCCTTCCCACAGTACCTCCCCCAGCTGGCCAACTTCCCACATCCCTCCCCTGCCCTGATTGTACACTGGTGGTTCCTTGGCCTGGCCTGCACCCTTTCGCAATCCAGGCTGAGGGACACCGCCCCCCCCAGTGCACGAATTTCGTGTACTGGGCCTCTAATATATATATATATATATATATATATATATATATATATATATATATATATATATATATATATCTTTATTGTTGAAAGTATTAGAGATGTCCTATTTTTTCACCCATTGACGCCTTTTAGTCATTCCCTGCCCTCCACCCCAGGCCTTCACCACACTAGTCTGTGTCTATGGGTTATGTTATATGCATACAAGTTCTTTCGTTGATCTCTACCCTTCTTCTCACCCACCCCCATCCTTTCTCTGAGATGCCACAGTCTGTTCCATGCTTCTGTGTCTCTGTCAATAGCTTTGTTTTATGTCCTGGTTCCAATGCTCAACAATTAGCTCTATGAAGAGGAACAGGTTTTTAACTTCTCATGAATTCAGTTTTCTTATCTTACCACAGTGCCTGTTGCATAGAAAATGCTTAAGGGATATTAGTAATCATTATTGTTAAGTTGATAATTTCTTGATTTATGAATACGATAATTTCCCAGGACCCTAAAGACCTATTTTCTTTCCTAATTTTTTCCAAACACGAGGTTTTGTTTTATTGCATGGCATTTGTATAAAAACAATATTATTGAAATCTGTAAGACATCATGTAATTGTCAACAAAGTAATTATTAACTGTACACTTAATATAGGTGGACATATAATCTAAAATTTAAAAAATAGTTTCAAAAAAGTACATAAAAATTTAACATGACAAGCTTTTAATTGTGGTTTGTATTTGTACTTTTGTGTTGCTAAAAAGTCCTCAAATGTACTGTTAGAAAGTTCCTTTTTTTAAATCCTCACCCCAAGATATTTTTAAATAGATTTTAAAGCTAGAGAAAGGGAGAGAGAGAGAGAGAGAGAGAGAGAGAGAGAGAGAGAGAGAGAGAGAGACATCGATTGGTTGCCTCTAATAGGTGCCCTGTGCCCCAACCAGGAATCCAACTACTAACCTAGGTATGTGCCCTGTCCAATAATCGAACCCGAAACCTTTTTGGTCTGTGGGATTACACTGCAACCAACTGAGCCACCCAGCCAAGGCTGGAAAGTCACTTTTTATAAATTGTACTGGGGGTCATGTCAAATTATAAACTGTAAAAGTTAATTATCTTTATGGAATTAGAAAGGGAACATTGTGATACTGTATTCATACTAACTCGAATCAGTTTTCAATTCTCACTCAAATTAAATTAATATAACACTAATAACCTAAAAAAATCTCTTTTCTAACCAACAAGAGTCTATAAAATTCAAACTATTCATGTTCAACAATCAAATATCTGAATAGGCCTGAGTGGCAAGACCTAGATTCGAAGCAGGTTGGTGTTAAGCCATGTAATGTGTCTTCCAGTGGAAACCTTCTCTGAAGGCTTGCTTTATGAGTTCCTAGGGCTAGGCATTCAGTTCTTTCAGAGATATACTATCCTTTTGTGTTGTCTGACCATCTAAACCAAACATTTCTCACAACCTCTCTTCACTGATGGTTTCAGGTCTGTCGATCTTATTCTCAAGAATTAGTATAGACACATAGTAATGGTTTCCTCAGTCATTAGTGAATCAAGTTCTTCTTTTAATTTGTTTTAGTATGTGGAGCAATGTTTTTCCCCCTCATTATCCCAAAGAAATACATACCCAAAACAATTAAAGGAATACCAATTTTCCAGTTTTCTTATATAATCCCAGATACTGTAGCACACTGCTGAAACCACTGTCAATCCAGTCAAAGATGAAGGGCATATGCATATTCTGTAGCTTCTGCAATTGGAGGGAATGCAATTCTTTGCTTAGCTTAAGCCCTACACCTTCCAAAACCCAACTGCAAAACATGAAGGCTGCTGTGGTCCCAACTCGTGTCAGTTCATTCTGGGCTGGCAGTCTCTTTCTGATTTTTTAGGGAAATAACTTCCTCTCTCCATAGCTACTCTCACAGATACTCTATCCAAGCATCTGAGTGGTTCTCTTTCTGCCACACCCCCAGAATGCAGACAAGTACATACCCAAAGCAACAGTATCAACAAACCCAGCCACTTAGAGAAGCTTCTTCCACAAGCCCCCCAACAATTCCTGACCCAAGGAAAAATAGAGGCCCAATTTTATTCTTTGATATGCCTTTCTATTGCTCTCTACAATGAGCATTTCTATATTTTCTGAACACTCAGTATGTTTACAAAAAGAAAAGGAAAGTGGAAATACAATTTCTCACCATAGATGGAATAGATGCCTTTGTTATTTTAAACTATTTTAATTTTTTCTTTCATATATTAGAGCTTAAGTTCATCCCTGACAGATGGTTATAACATAATGAGTCAAAAACATTAGTAATTTAACATATTTAAGCTACCGTGGAAAATTAGCGACTTCATGAAAATTGAAAAACTCATTTCCTAATGCGATTTAGATTTAGACAATGCTGCAAGAATTTTCATTAAATAATATAAAAACAAATTAGAGGTATAGAAAGGAAAATCAGGGACAGTAAACACCATCACATTAAAATATGATTTCACAATGTTAACTAATTAAAGACTAAATGCTTTTACTGGTAACTGCACTTTTTCTTGTTAAAACAAGAAAAGAGATGTTTATTATCAGCTAAATGATTTGAGGTAGCTATTATGAGAAGCATTTAGAATTTGACCAACATATTTATAAAATTATAATTGACTTAGAGGCCCGATACACGAATTCATGCACTGATGGAGTCTGGCCGGCCTCCCTGATTGGGGCCTATCAGACCTGCTGGCCAGGGGAAGGGCTGCAGGCTGTTGGCCGGCTGCCCCCCTTCCCCCCTGTTGTACTCCCGGTTGAGGGGACAATTTGCATATTAGCCTTTTATTATATAGGATATTAAATGACTTTTAAAGTTGAGATTTAAAGTAAGTATCTTTTAGTGGTGTAATAATTCAGGTACTGAATGGATAATTGTTTCTTCAGCATTTTCATCATAAGGTTTTTTCTTTCCCTTTGTACTTGCAATAAATCTTGGTTTGCTAATCCAGATGCACATAGAAATGAGTAGCAGAGGAAAGCAGTGAGGGATGTTTTACATCTTAATTCAATCTTTACTGAGACAATTGTCAAGTGTAAATTCTTTGTTTTCATTTGGTTACTGATTTCTTTCTTGTGACTTAGAATTTTTCTTTTCATTTTTATGTTTCTCTCCACAGAAAGCTGACCTTGCAGTTGCTCCACTGGCTATTACCTACGTTCGCGAGAAGGTCATCGACTTTTCCAAGCCCTTTATGACACTTGGAATAAGTATTTTGTACCGCAAGCCCAACGGTACAAACCCAGGCGTCTTCTCCTTCCTGAATCCTCTCTCCCCTGATATCTGGATGTATATTCTGCTGGCTTACTTGGGTGTCAGTTGTGTGCTCTTTGTCATAGCCAGGTAACATGCTCACTTTTGTGATTTTTTTGGCAATTGTTACCTCCTTTTTCTAACTAATAATTGTCAAAAGTCACAATCAGTTTTCTTTTTATTTCCCAGTGGGGTGCTGAAGAATAATGAACTTTTACATGTCACATATCTTATTAAAATGTCCTAGGATACCTTTTGGGGCAGAAAGAATGCTGGTTGTGTCAGTAAGCTATAACTGTGGTAGAGTTTACTCTTTTTCATCAGAATCTAACAGAAGTCGTAATCACCATGAAATAAAAATCATTTCTTCATTCTGAAGATTTCTCTTGAACCAGACAGCAAAATATTTGTATGTTTTACTAATTTGAATTAATAAATCATTCATAAAGATGGTAAAATTTAAAAGGAAGCTTTCTGGCCTTTACAATCCACGATATAGCTTTATTATTTTGCAGGTGGAAATTTATAATCATTTTTCATTTATGCTTACCTCACTATAAATTTTTAACAATTAGATTATTTCAAGATTATTTAGTTTTCTTTTGCCTTCATTAAGAACATAAAACCATCCCTCATGACTCAGAACACTATGAACTTGAAATGAACTTGAAAGTCACATATTCATTATAAATGTTGAATTTTTATATTTTAGTGCATATCAGAAAGATAGCTCCAAACCCAACATGAGTTAGAATTCTACTATAGGTCTTTCATGTTGATAAGTTTGATAATGTATGACTATAAATATGTTTTGTCTTATCATTAAAATTAAATATGTATTTTTAAAAATTACATTAAATAGGTGCTGCCAATCAAGGTAACACTAAGGATATTTATATTTCTTTGAACTTACTAATTTTACAATGAAGTCATATATATTTTCCCAGCAGTAGAAAACATTTTGTTCACTCAATTAAAAAGAAAATAAAATCAGTTATAAAAGTAGCATGCTATTCTTATATATTTTTATATATTTTCTTTTTATAGGAATACACAAATATTTTCATATATTTATACATACATATTATACAAATGTATATTTCACCTAATTGGTTCAATATTAATACTTGAGTTCTTCATACAATTATTATTTACCTTTGATAATTTGTATTGGAACCATTTATACATATAACTTTTATTGCTGTATGGTACAGACTGTTAACATTTTTATTTGAAGTTTCTGTTCCTAAAATGGAGATATTGGAGTGTTAAATTCTTAAGCTTTGAGTTTTAGTTTTTTTCCATATCTTTTGAAAATAAAATACCCTTCTCATTTTTGAGCATCTTTGGTCAAAGTATATCAATTTTATAGTGACTTACATGAGCTATCTTGTTTCATATATATTCAGAATACATATGAGTTCAAGGATCGCAGTTTAAATTCTTCAATGGCTAAAGATCACTGAAACCTGTCCACAGGACCAATAGATAAATACTGCAAAGTATAGAAAAAAACAAAGTTTAGAAAAAATCTGTAGGTGCACCTGTTTCTATTATATACTAAATGATTAGATATTCTATATTAAATAATAAGTAATATACATACTTGGTAAAATAATATATAATATAAAAATAAACTCTTCATAGATTTTTCTCAGAATATTTTGTTCAATTCTAAATATTAAATACTTTGAAGATTGCCAAGTTTTTAAAAATGCAGTAAAATATTAGATTAAAAGAAATTTTCCTAGAGTCCTTTAAAATTCTAAACTAAACCTCCAAACTAAATGAACTTGTATAATTAGAATCCATTCTGACATGGTATTGAATTCTTGCTATCATGGAAGAAGTTCATGATGTGCATATAAAGAAAAAATTCCTACTTTCACTTATAGAACTTAATTACCTTTCTAATTTAAATGGAATTGTGATATTTGTTACCAATTCACAATAAATGTAATATTTTCATTTTATCAATAAATAAGTACCATTGGCCTTGAATTAAGTTCATAAAATATTTGATAATTACTTAAATATTTTTATGAATGTCATATTTAAATATTCTAAATGATTTGTATCATATTTCACTGGAGAGAAATAAACAATGATAAAAAAAAACATTATGCAAATTGTTAGTTATCATTAGAATGCCAGATTTTAGGTTTATTGAATTATCTGCTATATCACAGTGTTAACAATATTAATTTTATGATAAATTAAGAACTGATCATAATTGTTAGAATTTATGTTTTTAAAACTTGGATTTAAAAGTTGATTGTGACTGTGATAACTTTGTAAAATTTTCCATCACTATTATTTTATATGGAAATGATAATCCTAAAAAATACTTAACAAATGCTCTAAATTTTTCAATCAGTATTAACAAAGATATATGGTCTTATTTGTTTTTCTGGGTATGGTTTTATAATCTATGTTCTCTTGCAAACAGTTGCATTATTGATTACAGCATAATGACACAACCAGCATGCTTATCTGAAGTACCTAAGAGATCTTATTTAGGAGTAAAGCTGAACCTGGGGTACTGCGTTCTAGACATAGAATGGCCTTATGCCAGGGGTCCTAACAATAGCTCTTGGATGGCCGAGGATTAGAAAGAAATCTTGCCCGTGATGGGCTTGTAGCTATCGTATTTGCCCCTAAACACTTCCCTCTTTCTACTCTTTTTTCTTTGACCTGGGTATATTAGTATAAAAATGTCAGTTAATCATATAAAAACTGGTCAGGGAAACCACCCTTTACACTAACAATGAGAGGTATTTTTCACCTTGCTTCAAATATTTCCTTTAAGAAAGAACAGATGCTATTGATACAATAGAAACTATAAGGTGAGTCGATTTAAATTCCCATAATATTAGCAATTTCTTAATATTTTAACTATAGTTGTCTCAAAGACAACCAGAGCTCTTCTGAAATACAACATGTAAATCTTGGTCTATGGTTCTTAGTAGTTTGTTATACAGAGATGACTAACTAAAGACCAAACTAAAAATAAAGGAATAATAGTATACTCGTTTCCCTCCAACAGGATTGATGTAACCTTAATAATTATCCACTGAGTATATGAGAACATTGCATATTTTATTCTAAGGTTGGAATTTAAAAATAAAATGCAAATAAACTCTGGAAAAGAAAAATAATACTATACTAAATTTTGTAGTAAGGGTATCATTACACAGAAATTTCTTAGATTATTAAATGAACAAATGGATATGCTCAAAATAGGAAAAAGTAAAAGAAGATAATCAACATTGACTAACCTGACCTTCTTAGGAAGAATAGCAAATAAAAAAGATATATTTAATGTGTCAAATACATAACATTAGTTTTTCTAAGTAAAAAAGAATATACAAATTTCTTATACATTTTTGCATTTACTTGCTTTGCATTATTTTCAGAACATTAGAATGCTGTTTGTTGTATAACTGCATTATGCAGTAGAGGGTGTTACCCTTAGAATCTGCTCAAGGGTTTATTATTACTGTGACCACCAGGACTGTTTTGACATATGTTTTGGCTCCAACATGGTCTGTGGTCACAAGATGACAAGGCTATTGCCTTACTGAGAGTCCTTACACTTGTAAAAGTATTCTGTATTTCTCTGGGCACTCAGAAGTAAAGATGTTCTAAACATAGGGTTTTTGATGGTTTAACCAAGCTCAGAAAACCGTGTCCAAAGTGCTTGCATTAACAGCTTTGATCTTGGCTCCTGACTAATGCGCAATAGCTTTTATATTCCTGTCACAATGATGGGTGACATTTAATGTACGGTGAAGGGCAACAATGAATTATTATGCTCTTGGAAATGGATTACTGTTTTGGTGGGATGTTCAATGTTAAACTAATCTGCTGTCACAAAGACGATTGTCACATTGAAATGAAATGCCAATTTTGTTGTGTGCCTTTGTCACCAACTTGCCCACCTCTTACTGTAACACCATTTCAGTCTTACCTTTCCATAATGTAATTTTAAATATATGTTACTTTTATTTTCTTTAGGGTTTTTTTTTGTTTTTGTTTTTTTAGTAAATTGTGGGGAAGCTTATGTGCTGTGCCTCTTCCTATTTGGCCATTTCTCTGAAATTTAATGAAAACTTGTTTTAAATCATACTATTTTGCTAATATGCCTTTCACACATATGAAAGTGATTGTTAACATTGATTATATTAACAAATATTTCAATTATGGACCCAAAAGTCAACATTGATTACAAAGAAATTCACTTTGAAATATGTTTATGCAAAGGATAAGGTTACTTCTACCTTAAGAGTTTTCTTCCACAATTGTTATTTGGTAAACCCATTATAGAATGATTTACTTCTGTATTATTACTACTTTTACAAAGTAGTAATCAATATTTACTGTCTACTTTGTAATCGGTATTATTACTACTGATTACAAAGTAGACAAGGAGTCACCAACTTGGAACATAATTCTTAGTTGGTGTAATCAGTAGAACCAAACTAATTGAAACTAAGGTGATCGGTGACTTCTTTTCAGGTCTGGTGAATATGGAATCGGAATAATTGAGGCAGGCGAGATTTTCACTGAAATTACATAGAGAATCTCTTCTTTACCCTATATATGAGGAGATGAACTTATTTTTACATATCAATTTTATACCTTATTAGACATTTGAAAGATCTGAGAAAAATTAGTGAAAAATGGCAATTTAAAATTAAAGTGCTTTTTTTCTATAATCTGTAATCAAATACTTGTTGACATATTCTTCTAAAGATAATTGTGCTTGAGTATCTTTTAAAAATTTGCACCTCTTTCCAAATTATTTTTTCACAAATATTTTTATTATTAGGATGAAATTAAGTATAAATGCAAAAGCAGAAGTTTGATAGCCCATTTTTATTTTTCATATTCTATGGATAAAATACTTAACTCTGTCTTTCCTTGCCTCCATCACCAAATTTATTTCAGATTTCTAAAAATGAAAAAGCTGCCTGTCCAGTCATTACAAATGGATTCACCCACTCAAATATATTGACCAATCAGTCTCTGGGAACTATAGTCACCCAATGATCATCTGTTTAAATTTAAAAGTCTTACAATGTCTAGCT